CTCCTTGAGCTCTCACCTTCGATTTGTGAAACCAGAAGAGTTATTAAAATATTGCTTCCAGTCCATTCGGACGAGCAGAAACATTCTCTTCCAGTACTACAATGCAATTGTCTTTGCCTCTGAGACACTTAGACATTTGATATACTAAATATTGCTCCTCAGTCAATCCTTCAATTTTGGTTAAGGGGTTTTGCGAACACATTTTCTTTTGTATTATTAATCAGAACCTATTGTAACTTTTTATAAAAGGTATCCCAATGTAAAGCTGATGCAGTAAATTCCTTTGCTAAAGGAAATTATTACCATGTGCTTAGGTTGCATGTAGTCTGATCCCTTGTGTTAAAAAGATTAGCTACGAGGAAAGAATAGATAAGCTTGGGTTCCTAAGCCCCAAGAAAAGATTTCTCAGAGGGGACCTTAAGGAGATGTACAAGATTCTTAATAGGATAGAGCAAGTAAGCTAGAACAATACTTTCAGATATACCAAAGAAGCAGTACAAGAGACCAAGGTGCAGAGGTATGAAGGACAAGTATAGGACAGCCACCACAAAGTGCTCATTTCATAAAAGGTAAAGAACAGTGAAAATGGATTACAAGGAAAGGTGGTTGTGATAAAGACCCTGGACTCATTTAAGAAATTATTTGATGCTGTAATGGGAATGTGGAAGGGTTGGTGTTCTGGAAAGGTGAGGTCAAATAGACTACAGGGACTAATTCATCTTAATCTCTTATTACCTTGAGCCTGTTTTTGGCAAGGTAGAAAACTCATATCTAGCCTCAGATCCGAAACTCAGAGCTTCAGCTTGATGTGCTACAAATCATTCATCACTGAAATGGTAAACCTATTGTGCATTAAGGCAAAATCTAATTGCTTCTGCTATACATCCATGGGTCAAACTCCCCCATGGTTCAGTAATCTAATTTAGTAACACTAAACTGGAAACATCCCAGCTTTGAGTTTGAGTTTATGGCGAGCAATTGGTTGATCTCAGCTGTGATGGCAAGTGTTCCAATGTCACATTTGTGATGAGGATCGGATTTGAGTACAATGCGAACTATGGTTGAATGGCATATCAGAACAGAAGGATAACTTAACAGTATTTGTCAGAGCATCTAACCCATGGAACCACATCCAGTAAAAAGGAAAATCAGTCCATTTGTTCTGGAGCAGGTTGGATAAAAATTGCAGAAAAGAGTGACTAAATAAGCTAACTTAGCTTGAGGTGCTCGGGATTGTTCATGAATTTTCATTAACTACAATTTTAAGAAAAGCACTTTAAACATTTGTGTTCATTCGGCTATTAAACCCCATACTTTCGTGTATAATCAATTAGTACAAGCTCGAACAGTAAGATCATTTGCAATGTTTATCCTGGCACATTTTCAATCTTTTTTAATTTGCTGTGAAATTCTAATTGTGATCATAAGAATATGTATTGTTGCAATATGTCCTTTGCAGAAATTATAGATTTGGAATAGCAATAGATTCCAGTCTACACACTGTAATATCTGCTTAATGTGTTTATGGGCTTTCATGATGTTTTATGCTCACATATGAATTCATTTTAACTACAATGATATTTCTACGTGGATTCCTTCATGCAAAAACGTAACTCAATGGCTTTCTGGTACATTGGTTTGCACAAGTCAATAATAATAATAATTATCCTTGCATGTGATATAGTGCCCTATCATGTCATTGAAATGTCTCATTGTGTGTCACAGGATTTTACTGTAAAGGATAGTAACTATGCATTTGTAGATAACCTCTGCAGCTGCTTTTACGTTGGAAAATCTTTAATTTGTGCTGACGTGTGCAGATCAATTTAGGGACTTTGCAACACACACCTATAAAATGTTGGTGAATTAATTGTCACTTTTCCGCCTTTTGAAAATATAAACACAATGTGAAGAAAACCTGCCGATGAAGAAAATCATTTGACATATAAAATTCCCCACGTTTCAATGAGCAGCATTTCCTTAGCAGTTTCCTGATTCCCTTCAGTCTTAGTGTACTCCAGAGATGATTTTTCCATTCAATATGCAAACATTAAATACTGAACCAGTTGTTATACTTAATGCCTGCCTTTTGGTGTGCGTAATTGTGACAGCATTGCACAGGAAGAGCCTGCTCTATCTGGTCGATTCAGTGTGGTACTTCTGGCCAGGTTGGAAAAGTTTCACTTGACTAGAACATGTTTTAAATTTTGATTGGAAAATCACAACTGTATCTTTAGCGGGATTAGCTACGCTTGCGCAAAACTAGTTTCAGGATGCTGGAGTTATACTGTATAGAAGTGAGCGAGAGGTGACACAATTAGTCATTTTATGATATTATTAGATAAGAATGTGTCTGTTTTCTTCCATGAGCCAAGGGATGTATTGGTTCATTTTTGGAAGCCAAGGTTTATTTGTTAAAAAGCACGACTGATAAATTCTCATCTGATTTTGTCACCCTACGTATCTCTGGAACACTCTCGCTCAATCCCTCCGCCTTGCCCTCTCTCCCGCCTTTTTCAAGTCCTGCCTGAAAACCTTCTTCTGCGTCCATGCTTCTGGTTAAGCACTCTGAGACTCTACCCTGCGTGGAGGCTGATATATAATTGCAAGTCGTTGTTGTAACCTGATACAGTGGGAAATTTAGATTTATGGTTAAAATCAGACACGTGACCTATTCCAAGTCGGCTATGAACTGAGTTGGTTAACAAGTAGACTCAAAATCACTGGTTGTTCACCAAGTCGACTCAAAATGAATCCATTCATTGAGGATCTTTCATCGGGTTCTGTGCATATCCTTGAGAAAGAAAAACAAATAGTGTAACCAAGCTTCTTTTGTAAAGTGCGTACAAAAGCTTAAAAACTACTGTACAATAGAGCATGTTGCAAATGGTGCATTCCCCTGTGGGAAAATACAAAAAAGTAATACCATGAGGCATCCCATGTGATTCATTTTACCCTTCAATACTGTGTTGTACAATATTACTTTTCCTTCAAAGGATATCAGAAAACTTCAACTTAAACAAATGGACTCCTGTGATTGAAAGAGTTTAGTTAGAGGAATATTGTTAGCACAGAACAAAATATTCCCCCTCAACATTTTGTTACCTTTTCCTTCCCATTTTCCCTGCTTGATGCTACAGGGATAATGCTCTTACCCACCTTCCCTTGAAACAGGTCTACATTTAGTAAATGTGACCCTTAATGCAGTAACCTTTTAGCATGCTGAAATGGACAAAACTTCACAGAAACACCACAAAGATAATCGTAGTGGTAAGAAACAGATTTAATATGAATATTGACTACCTAAACTGGTTGAATTGATTACTACTTAAAATTTGGTAGTATTAAACATACATACATTGATGTAAATAATGTGTTACTTAACGCAGAAGTGAAAAGTTACATGGCTAAAAAGTACCTGTGGCATATATTTCGCTCAGACAGCTTATCCTATCTGCCACTGCATGGTCCTGTTGTTCAATGTCTATAATATTGATACGTCTATAGCAACAACAACAACAACAAATGACATTTGTATAGCGCCTTTCAAGTCGGGAGGACGTGCCAAGGAGCTGATATAATAGTGTACCTGAATGTACACGTTTAATATGTGTTTGCAAATCTTGGGCAAGCATCTGTAAATGGAAGTCGATCTTTTTCTGATCACCACTGAGAAAATAACACTAGAAAAATTATTATACTTGATTTTATATACATATATATAAATTTATTTATGTAGCATTTTAGGCATCTTGTCTTTGACTGAAGGTGCCAAATTCAGTCTTAACTTTGGAACCAGTTTCCTGTAGTTCTTAAAAGAACGTACAGAAAACTTCAAAATTAAAGCTACATTTAAGAATTTGCTCCCAAATTCTGGAGGCTCTGAAATGGTGCACAAATAGGGTAAATTTCTCCCCCAGCACCGTAAATACAAGGTGGAAGGGGATCACCTTGTGGGATGAAGCTGTGTACAGTGTAGATAAGGTTAAAATAAAAGGTGAATTAATGAATCAATCATGTGAAATCCATAAGAGTGCTTCCCAGGAACTTATGAGGAAAGAGGAGGAGTTATTATGACTAGGTGCAGTGACTCTCTAAACATCAGATATTGTAGCCTGTCTGTAATCAAGCCTTCTTTTCTTACTTTTGTTGCATTTGTTTTACATTCACGTTCCTTTAATTCACCTTATTTTGCTTATTTTCACCTTTCCAAATCTCTAATTTCCTCCTCCACCCCTAATATCTTCACCTTACCTATTTTGCTTTTCTGTATTCCATTCTTCTTTTCCTCTTGATTTCTTTCAAACCATTTCCATTTATTTTTTGCTCCTCTTGTTTCATCATTTTTCCTGCAGATTTGTATCTTGATAAGCAAACCGACATCTATAAAGGAATTTTAAAATGTGCTGTGGATTTGATTAGATCTCTTTGTGCTACTATTGCTCAAAGGAATGTACGATAAGTGGGTGATTGCTTTTTGTTTCTTTTTAAAAATTAGCTTAATCTGTGATTTATCTCTAGGACAATTAACTTAATTTCAGGGACTAGCAGCATGTAGCCAAGAGTACAATAATTGTTTTTAATTTTCTTGTAGCATATTCATAAGAAAAAGCCCATGGAGCATCAAAAACAATTCACGAGAAAGTGAAGCAACATGCACATATTTTTATATATATATTATTATTACATATAGCTATATATATCGGTCACTTGTAAAAGATCATATGATGCACATTAGAATTCAACATTTGTAATCGGATATATTTGGCTTGCTCTTGTGTGCATCCTTCTCATATGTGGCGAGTTAGTGATAAGATTTCCATGACAACCACATTGTGAATCAGATTGACTTTTGTTTTGGCAGGTTTATAATGTCAATTTTGATTATGCACCAGAAACACTTGACAGAATAGGTTCCTTGAAAACAGATCTGCCCTAATACGTGAGCATGAAAACAAACCATTACATGCAAAATGTCTTTACCTTTTGGTTCGTTCTAGCACTACGAGAAACTGGAGAATAATTTCGATGACATCAAACACACCACTCTCAGTGAACGAGGAGCACTTCGTGAAGCAATGAGGTAAGTCCACATCCCCATAGCAACAGTCACCGATGTGGTAAAGAAAAAAGTCATTCTTCATTATCGGGAGGAACAAATGAGTTCATTGCCACCATTCTGTTCTTTTCTCTAAGGTATTAATTTGTCCGTAGAGCACACTCCCTTGGGATTTTGCTTGGGTTGTAAAGGCTTCAGCTAGTTCAGCTCCCCTCCGCGATCAGAATTTAAATAATATTTTCACTTTAGTTTTCTCTTTCCTCTCTCTTTCACCCACCAAACCCTACCCCTCCCCCCACCCCACCACCCACATGCATAAATAGCAAAAATACTTTTTTTCCCATTCGTCATGAAAAATTAAATATCGGTTATATTACAGCATTTGTTTTCACATCCTGGTGATGTTTTCTGTGCTTAGAAATACTCTAGACTGAAATGTTTTTATATCTGTTTTTTTTAACCCACTGTGAATATTAAATCTCATAAAAAGAGGATCATTCATGTTTAAACTGTGGCTTACCTATTTTATTAAACCAGCATGAGAAGGCATCAATACATGAACAGCAAAGTAATGAATAGTTTAAAAGGTCAGTCACAGTTATACTATGATTTAATGCACAGAATGCAGTTTATCCACACATTGTATTGTCTGCTTGTTCAAAATCATGGTCTCTGTGTCATTAATCATGTAATTTTGATTTTGTGATTTTTAAAACCTTTTCTTGTCATTGAAAATATACGTAAAGACATTGATGACTCACTGATTCGTCGAAAAAAAATGATTTTGAACAAAGTGACGCTAAAATGTATTGAGGCAATATAAACATTTTGTATCTGAAGCAATGCAAATATGGCAATGCAAATCCAAAATCCTATTTCCTTCTTTGAATTTCTTTGATCCGTTTTAATTTTAAGAATTTTGACCTTTTTTAAAAAAAACTATTATTGTTGTTGTTGTTAAGCTACTGACATTTCAGCATTTAGTTAATGACATTTGGCATTCGGTTAGTAATAATAAACAATAATAATAATCCTTGCATGTGATACAGCTCCTTATCACGTCTTCAAGCGAGACATATCAAAGCACTTCACAGGACGAATGTAAAATGAATTGACTGTATATTGTGTGCGTGAAACACGGCAGCCAATTGCGCACAGCAGCGACTCACAAACAGTTATGGATTGAGCGACCAAATTATTATTAAAATTACTGTGGTAATTCAAAACTACAAATATTAAACACTGGGAAACAATTTTTAAAAGAAAAATCAACATTAATTTTACTTCCCTATTCCTGTTTAATATTTTATTTTTCGCTTGTATTAATCCTAAATTTTAAGTAGTGTATTGCATCAATATTCTCCTGGCTGGACTATAAAAAAATTGTGAAGAGTTGTCCATCCAGTTATTCCCTCAATAACTTAAATATTTTGACCCCTTCACATGTGACTCCACCGATCACATACTGGGTTTGATTTGAACACAGTTCAAAGGATTCTTATGATGGCTGAATTGGTAAAGCCACTGTGCCGTGCGCAATTACATCACGCAAGAAGTTCCTAGGATCAATGCTCAGACTGTGTTGTGTTAGTTATTCTCCTCTGTGGTAGTGTTGCCTTTTTAATTTATGTGATCCATAAAAGAAAAAGTATCCATTTTTAAAACCCGTGTTGCATACTTTGCAACACAATTTCACCAGAATAGCCAATTTGATGAAATACGTCCTAAAACGTGTGGAATGAGAAAAGACATTTGACCCATTGAATCCGCTTGTTTGTACCAACCATACACTCTTTCATGGACTCTTCCTAACTTCCTCAATGTCCTGTGGGAAGTGAACCACAAGTAAAACCTCCAAGAAAAATGCTGACATTTCTCCCTTCTTGAAGGTAATTGAGCAAAAACTCCCAAGGTTTCAATCTAACAGCATAATCTACATTATTTAGCCTTGACTGGCTGCTTTTCTCGGATGGCATTTCCATAGTCCCAATGGGACAGAAACCATAGTGTTCCAAAGAGTATTTAATCCTCCACCTCTATACTGATCCTTACAACCTTGAATCCCTTTCTTAACCAGATATTCTTCCAGCTCATTTAGTCTGCACTCACAAAACAGCTCATTCGTATCTTTTTGTACAACAAATACAATTTTGGTAATATTCTCTATATTATTATAAATTAAAAAGGCAACATTACCACAGAGGAGAATATAATCCAACCAGGAAAATATTGATGCAATATATATATATATATATATATATAGATGCAGCGAGTATCCTACACATAGCCTTAAATGTAGGGTTTTATATATTCAGATCTGACGCCTTCATGAAATCTGTAGTGGTGAATTAGAAATTAGTTCTAGTGCGAAGATCTGTATTTGAGAGCCAACAATCCAACACCAGGTCAAAGATTTGCTCCAGAAAATGAATTGTTGTCTCTGTTATTTTATTTTAAAATTGAAGTAAACCCACTTATCCATTTGTTAATGCTGGCTGACTTCTGGGACCCTATCATTTGCATCATTTTTTAAAAGATCCTCTTTGAAACTCTACAAAATATGCAGAGTTACAATTATATGGATATCAGGAAAATACTTAAACCTAAACAACTGTTACTTTGGTACTTGCAGTATTAAAGAAATGTTGCATTATCAGAGGTATTTAAGGTGACACATTTAACCAAGGCCCGGTGTTTTCAAGTGGCTTTTAAAGATCTCAAGACTATTCAGAAAGAGGTTTCTCCTGGTGTTCTGTCTAACAATCCTCCAGGCTATCCGTTCCCTTCTTGGCTGTTTGAGGGACCTTGCTGTGCACAAAATGCTGGCAGCATTTAACTCAAGACAGTCACTATGTTTGACAGTAATTACACTTGGCAATATGTACTTTGAGATGTTTTAATGTAATGAAGAGCGATGAAAATGCAAGTTCTACCTCTATTTACGTCAATGGCCAGGGAACTGAATTCCACCAAACAAAGTGGTCAAATCTGCTGATGACATACTGGAGACCAAGGATGTAGCAAAAGCTTCACAAAATGATTTAGAATGATTACGCAATTGGGAGGCATGTGACTTATCTAAAGTGGCATAATGCACAATAATCTATAAATAGAACTTAAGTATCCACAGGACACTTGAACTAGATTTGTTTCAGAATGTTCAAGGAAATTGGGAACAGCATGGTTAATATCTTTACAAGCTCTGAACATAGAGGTGCTGAAATGAGAACTGGAGGACTGTAAATTATAATAATAATAATAATAATCCTTGGATTTGATACAGCGCCTTATCGCATCTTCGAGACGTCTCAAAGCGCTTCACAGAATATACTGTAAAGTGAATTGACTGTACATTTGTGGGTGAAACGCAGCAGCCAATTGCGCACAGCAGCGTCCCACAAACAGTCGTGGAATGAATGAAGTTATTATTACTTTTCCAAATTTATTTTTGTTTGTTTTTTTGAAGGTATTTTTCACATTATTCACATTAAATTGTATCCTACTGGACCAAAAAAGTCCAAGATATGAAGTGAGGGGTGGGAAAAACTGATTAGTCTGACATCCTTATGGAAAACATTTTACAGCATGTTCATCTAAATAATGTGGAGGCCATTATTTTGCATTATTTTAGAAGCATCCACTCAGGTCCCATGCATTCTTTGCAGTGGTAAGTGCATTATTAGACCAAGGCGATGCAGTGGTTATAACTCAGTTGGGTTTCCAGAAAGTATTTAATAAAATTGTGGGTGAGAGGCTTCTGAATGAATGTCATGTTTCTGGAATTAATGGCAAATTAAACGCAACGGAAAGCAAGCAGCAAGTGTAAATATAGGAGGCTCATTTTGGAAATCTTTGATCGGACATCTAAGTAAATTGATAGAGAAAGTCGTATAAGGTCTCCTCAGAACCCATGATCTTAATGGATCAAATAACCTTTTTCTGATTCAGTATTTGTTATGTTCTTTAAAATGGAACCCAAATGAATCCAAGTCGAAATGCACTCCACAAATTTTAATATTCCTTTATTCATTTGACCTGCATTCAGGATCGTTGACATCTGTTTGAAACTGGAATGTCAAAATTTCTGCCTGGGAGAAAAATAGGCTGCATGATTGGGAGAGCAATACATACACAAGAATTTAGACTTCAGATTTGTTTGAAATCAGCACTCCCATGTTAGAGATATATTCTAATTTAAAAATAATTTAAATCGTGTTGACACTCAATTCAGACTGGCTTCAAATGTTGAGTCTCATTCATGGTTATTTACTGAGGATTAAGAAATGATAACTGGGGTGTGTTGCACATTTTGAATCCCACAAATATGTCTTTGAAGATTGTGTAAATTCAAATGAGATGAAGTTTTTGAACTGTTACCAAATGGTAAAAATAATTATTTTTGTTACTGGAACCAATTGTCCTCTTGATGCAACAACGCCAGTTTTGGTTAACATTTTCAATTTGGCTTGTGCTGAAGTTGAAGTTGACATGAAATGAGTGATAAGGACAGCTGTTTTTTTACTATAATTGGAATTATCTGCAGTCCCCGCAGTGATGTACCAATCAGCATAAGATCATAATGCTATATTCCATCTGATCTAATAAGAAAAACACAGCAGGAACTATAAAAAAAATGTGATAATGTTATTTTATCATGCCTACAAGCCACTGTTTTACTGAGGATGTGGTGGGGAAGGAAATTAATTTGCTTTTATTTGATTAGTTTATTAAAACAAAAATAATAAACAGAGTTTAAAAAAAGTGGATAATATCCTATCATTAACTCTGCGTCTTCAAAAATTGATTTTGTATACACACCTTATTTTTAAAACTAAATAATATTTTTCGGGAGAAGTTAATAGTTCCTTAACTGTCCAAATAATGGTGCAGTGACAAATTGTACATTGTAAAAACTCCACAGGGACATTATTTCACCTTCCTGCAAACATCACTATTTTATGTTTGTTGTTTCAGATTAATATTGCCGTATCTGCATACATTTTTGCTTTTATGCTAAAAACATT